TCATGCACCCAATAGCCGGGTCAAATGATACATAAAGGACCCCTCCACATATATATATATATATATATGTTTATTTATCTGTTTGTTTATGCACATATGTTATATGTTTACAGAAGGATCAATCCTAGGGCCTGCGTTTGTGCATAAGGAGCTTTTTTGAAGTTTCGTATGTCTTTGTGAGGCTTACTTGCTCAACTTAACCTTATGTTTGGAGATCCTTTATGAGTTGTTTTATAGTGTTTGAGCCTTGACAAGGATTCTTGTCATGCTGTGGTGGTTTGTTGAATAAAAACTTAAACCCTGAATCCTAAACCTCAAACCTTAAACCTGAGACCCTAAACCCCGAACCCTAAACCTCGAACCCTAAGCCGCTAAACCTAAACCTTAAACCCTCAACCCCGGACCCTACACCCTAAACCCTAGACCCCAAACCCTGGGATCAGTTTTTGGGGCCTCAGAAGGGTTGCTTTTACGTTGGGATATGGATTAGAAGGTTTTCCTGTTCCACACATGAGGCCCCAATAACAGGCTCCTCTTGGTAAGGAATTCTATACTGTACTTGCAGTTGGAAAAGGGCCACCCTAAACCCTAAACCCACAAAAAAACCTGGGATCCTCCAAAAACTTTCTAACACCCTATAAAACACAGAAGCAGCCTTTTGGAAGCTTCGACAACCCTTCAATCCTCGACACAACCTAGAGCCTTATGCAAAAATACATGTATACACCCTCACAGAACCCTCTGGCTTGAGGTTTGGGGGTTTCCAGGTTTAGGGTACAGTAGTTTAGGGCCCACAGAACCGGATAAAGCCACTCATAAACCCGGTCAGCGCGAAGGACAGACACACACACACACACACACGCACGCATACACAGACACACACACACACACACAAAACCCTGTGAAGTCTGCTAAACCCTGTACCGCCCCAAAACGCGACAGCCGAATTTCCCCCAAATCCTGTAGACCCCCACATATCTGCTTCAGTCCTCCACCGCCGCCGTGCTGGGCAGTGCCGACGTGCCCGAAAGCCTTGCACCCTCCTTTGCGTTCAGTTCTTTCCGGTTAGGTTGGGGTGTGGAGGTTTCCCTAAACCCTAAACCCTAAACCGTTTTGAGGCTTAAGGTTTTGAGTCGAGGACCTTAGAGTTTCCTTGGGCTTTGTCCCTCTGGCGTTCGACGGTGTCGCTCTAGGGTGTCCGGATGTCGGACTCTGTCCGTAAGGCTGCACGCAGTGCTTATTGAGCCTGGAAGACAAGCTTGACGAACTTGCTTTTGAAGGATTCGCGGAACTCGTGTTGAGGTTCTGCATACCTTTATGTAGATATATGATAGCTCATTATCCTACTCACTACGAATCATGGTCGTTCCAGGAGTGGTTTGACCAGAAGAGCAGGCTAGGATGCGGGCCTAAATGCAGAGGTCGCGGAAATTGGAAACCACACCCCTTGCACCGGGACCCCAAAAGTATGTAGAATAATGGCCTTTTATGCGTCTTGGGCAAACCTGTACCGTTGGAGGTTTAGGTAGACACTATATATACAATACGATGTCTGTTGAACTCATTGCCAAGCTTTCTCAAGGCCCTCACACCGCTGTGTTTTATTGTGTGTTGGCATTTATGGGTTTAGGTTTGGTACTTACGATGCTTGTTTCCACAGATTTGCACATGGTGCCAGATGTCTTTGTTGGGATTTCGTGTTTCGCTTTGTGGTGCTGATTCTTGCGCCTTGCGGTCTTGGCGATTCGGATTTGGCGTATCGCATTCCGGCAGTTGCACTCCGTTGTTTACAGCTCCAGGGTGCCAGTCCCCCGGCCTCACACACACCCAAAGATTCCCAAGATGTCCTAAGCTTATATGGGGGATACTAACCCAAACCGTCATAGTAATTCCTACTCTAGAACTTCAGCTTCTGCGACATAGGTGCTTAGAACAAATGCTGAATTTACACCCTCAAACCTGAAAGTTTGGCCAGGACCCGCCCAAGTCATCTTTCTACATAGGGTTTAGGGGTTTAGGGGTTTAGGGTTTAGGGGTTTAGCGTTTGGGGTTTAGGGGTTTAGGGTTTAGGGTTTAGGGTATAGGGGTTTAGGGTTTATATAGGGTTTAGGGCTCAGGGAGTGAATGTCGGGATTAGGCCGCTCACTTGCCCGTGCGTTGCTGAGGCATTGGGCAGTGATGCGACTTTTGGGCCCAACGGCTTGTGCGATGCGCCGAAGCTTGGATCAATAGTTTCGGAAGCTGGGCGTCCGAGTCAGACAATGCTATGCGCATGAGACTTAGTGCCAGAGTTATGCCAGTAATAGTTAAAAGTGTATGCCGCTTTACTGGGGGGTTGTAACGGCGAAGCCGATAGCTTCTGTGAGAGTTCGAGTGGTTAGGTTAAGACGGTTAAGAAGGGTTATGATAGTGAAGCCTTCCGTGGTGTTGATGGGGCCCATGGACTGCGGACTGCATCCACCGCAGCATCGCCCGGACGGTACCAGGGAGTAGAGATGGTTCGTATCAGGACGATGATAAGGAGCACTAGTCACACGACGATGGCCCCTTAGTGCGACGGAGGGGCCCCCTCATTTTTCTCTTGTTACGCCTCTTCCTACTACTACCAAGAGGATTGCGACGAGGATGAGTGTTACGACTGGTGGTGATGTTCTTCGTCGTAGTCGGAGTCGGAGTCGATGTCGTCGCCGTCGTACTTTGTCCAGTGTGGTGTGTAAGTCACTTGTGTCGTGTTGTCTTGATTAGGTACTCAGAACAGTGACTGTGATCATTTTGGTCAAGCTGTTACCACTACAGTCACATCCACAGCTGACAGTATCACGCCAAAAGGGTGGCTAGATTGGCTAGATCCCCAAAGCCAGACTTTGCTGTTTTTGGCACCTGATTCCAGTATAGAAGTACATGTGAACCCTATAACCCTCAAGCCTAAACCCTCTCTCACCGTCATGACCAGAACTCTGCACAAGGAGCTTGGAACCTGAAGAGGAGGTGGCAGATGCGGAAGAGGTGCGCGCGAAAGCCGTCCCCCCCCCGTTCTGACTAGGTTCCCCTAAACCTCAATTTATGCCTGGCCCTCTAGACGCCAAAAGTTTGGGTTTCGGATAAGCTTGGATGACCTGGGCGCATGAGAGGTTCTGAATTCCAGGTTGCTAGGTGTCTTCTGCCGGGTCCACCAATTTCGATGAGGCGCCTCCACATGGATAGTTCTCTAAATTTTCAGGGTGCCGTACTATATTGCGGGACGTGAACAGGGACCCTAACTTAGAGAACTACCAGCTTAGGATGTCAGGCTTTAAGTTATACGGCTTCGGCACCCCTAATCCTAAAGCCCTGGACCGCCTGGACCCTTCAAACCCCCAAACCCTTAAACCCTAAACCCTAAACCCTAAACCCTTAAACCCTTAAACCCTAAACCCTAAACCCTAAACACAAACCCTAAACGCTAAACCCTGAAACCCTAAATACCGAGGTTAGTTTGGATCTTCAGAGTGTCAGGAGCATGCGACGCATAACGCGAAGCCCTGTAAACCGCAGACCCTGAACCTGGCGGTAGCTGTCCTGGCTGTCGCTATAGAACGGTTTAGGGTTTAGGGGGTTTAGGGTTTAGGGTTTAGAACTGTGCATTTCGGCTATGTAACCTCATAGGAAGAGAGGCGTTTATAATCCCCTAGATTGGGATCGTAGATGTAGGGACAGAATGGGTGTCGCTGCCTTGTCGAGCTCAAGCTGCAAAGTCAGTCGAAAGTTCAGCTGTAGCATCCCTCTGCTGGAGATGCCGCGATCCGTGACGAGCTCCGGGACGAATAGCCAAGGCAACAGCTATCGCTCGTACTCCGACGGGTCCTACTCTTACAGCAACAGCTACAACTCGAATGGCTCATCCCAGAGTGCCAGCTACTACTATTCGAACACTGGAAGTGGCCATGGCTTCTACAGCTAGCTCAAACTCGGGTTGCTGAGTGGCACTTTGGGATACTTTCGAAGTCCTCAACGTATGAAATGAGGTATCTTGTGAGTTCCTAATTTCAAACCCCCAAACCTTTTAGACTAGAGCCCAGGCTCTTCCAGCGGCCAGTACTCGTCGCATACGAACTATTCCTCTCCCTTGCCTCCTCAGGTGCAGACGGAAACACAAACCTTCTTCTTGCAGAGAAGAATTTTTGGAAAGGTGATCATGGCCTCCCTCGCACTTGTCGCAGCCTCAGATGTCGTGCGTGTCTTGGAATTTTATCTAGCGCCTGACAGGTGATTCAAGACGCGCACGCGATGGCGAACGCGGGCAACACCGCCGAGCAGATTCAGCACAGAGCCGGATCCCCAGCAACTCAGCGTCATGGCTTGCCCGAGATGGCCCGCTGTCGCCGCTGTTCTCAGTTTATCTACAAGTGGGGGGCTCTTGCACACTGCGCCGCCATGCAAGCGCGAGTCTTACAACAGCCTGCGTTTGCGTCTTGCCACGCAGCCAACGACGAGGAATTCTACCGCATGATGTGGGGAGAGCCTCTCAATGTACGTGTGACGTACATTGAAGCTCGGCAGGATCGGGATATAGCTGCAGGCGCCAACTGCGGCAAAACTTGCAATGATTTGAAGCCTTGGCTTTCGTAAGGACTGCTTTGGCGCGGGGCCGATAGCTTGCAGCACTGCTGTCTTGCGAAAGGCCGGGCTACACGCCCACGAAGATCGCAAGAAATGCATGCGACTGCCGCAGGTGACGAGGATGTCACCGTCGCAGAACACATTGCTTGGAACCCGAAGGCACGGAATCGAACATAAATTCCGAATGCAAACCTGACACCTGCAGGATTCGCCATGGCTGTCGTTTACCGAGAACTTCCTGGTGGCGCTCTGGTTCGCATTCGCCAAGGCGCGTCTCGATCGTGGGTATCAGCCAGACTCTTGCTTACAACCTTGCAAGGCCAGACCAGGCGACAGAAAAACCCTAGCCGCCTTGGACCCGTACGAGCACGCCACCTTTACGCTGGACGAGGACCCACGTTCCACCTTTGTTTCCATCACTTGAGCAAAGCGTCAGGACGCGAACTTGAGTATCACGGGAAGACGCCGAGAGCCCACCGCCGCCATGATGAGAAAGGCACGCGTGTCGGCGTTCCTTCACAGACGTTGCCACTTCTGGACGAACGTCTTTCTCTTCCTCAGGCGCGGAAGTTCACCCAATGGGCCGAAGAACGCCTGCTGCCTGTCGTGCCTGCGGACGGCAAAAGCCTGGCAGCTGTACCCAAAGGATCCTAAGTCCTAAGTACTGCAATGGGGGGAATTCTATGCATGCCAGCATCTTCATGTCTAATATACTTATATTATATGCAAACACAGCTGTTGAAGTATATGTGTGTCAAGGATCCTTTGGGTAAGTGGTGCCATCATACACAGGGGTTATGCACTGCCGGGGATGAAGAGCAGTGGCAGTTTCGTCGAAGCCCCGTGCCAAGAAGTGCCGGTGGCATAGAAACACGCTGGATCGCAGCTCAAACCAGCGTTCGCCCCTGTTGCAAGAGGGGCTGGGGCCGCCAGGCATTTCGACGGTTATGTTGGTTCCTCATTCGACAATATTCAGTGAAACCAGCGAAAGACCTACCCTTGCGAATTTCGGTGCACCCCAACGCGTCGTAGCTGTTCTACACTGCATGGGCGGGAGTTGTGCGGCAGTCGTAGCCCAGAGAGTCGAAAGCCTGGAAGAACCAACCCTGATTCCCTACAAGACCTCGAAACAAGACCCTGGGAGAATGCCTACAAACACTTTTTAACCCTCTATAATCTATAACACGCTACAAGAGCTCTACTAAACCCCTCCACCAAACCCTCCACCAAACCCCACAACACCCTCATAAATCCCTATACAAAACCCTAAATCCTGTTGGGGAGAGAGACCCAGACCCCAGCCCTCAGAAATGATTTTCATGAAGGTCCTCAAGCTTCGGGTTTAGGGTTTAGGACCCCTACACCCGGGGCAAAAGGAGAGCCTTCTCCTTGTGGCGAAGTGCGATGCTGTGCTCAGCGCTTTGGTGGAGCTTTCGGGAGGTGCGCTTTTGTTGGGATGTTTACTCGAGGATCGGGCCTCACTGGGGTTTTTACCGGTTTTAAGCAGGGTTTTATAGGGTGTAGGGATTAATTTAGGGTTTAGGGTTCAGGGCGGTCACACTGGACAGCAGGATATTGCATGTCTTGCCTGTTTTTGTTTCGGGTCGGCCCTGCACTTCTGCAAAAATCCTGAAGCAGAGACTCCATTTGTTCAAGAGCTACTGGGAAACTCGGCGCTTAGGCTTAGGTAGGGTGAAGGGTTTTTCGTGGTTTTGGTTTAAGGAGTTTTGGGAGGATCTGGGATTCGGGGTCTTTACCTGGACTCCAAACGTATGTAGAATAATAGCATGGAAGAGTATTTTGGCCATGATTTGAGCTAGTCTTGGGGGTTTAGGTAACCCTGTACGCCCTAAACCCCCTACAGTAAACCCCCAAAGCCTACGTTTAGGGCTGAAGTTGCTGATTGCACCCGTCGCTTGAGCAGGTGCCGCCCAGGGTCTCTTCAGCGAGGTCTGGCGCGACGAAGAGCAGCGTGAGGCGGTTTTTTTTGGAGTTTAGGGTTTAGGGGTTTAGGGTTTAGGGGTTTAGGGGTTTCGGGGTTTAGGGTTTAGGGGTTTAGGGTTTAAGTTTAGGGGTTTATGGCTTAGGGAACAGATCCTTAGCGCTTGAATGGAGGATGCTCCTAAACACCCATGATCGCAACTCCTCCCATAGAAGCCCCTACTTTGTACCATCTAGGTACTTGCGATCCTCAGGGTCCACTTTCTCTTAGCTCTGAAGCTTCCTAGTCCAAATCTCCAGGAGTCACAGCTAGCAAGAAGCCGGTTCGATATTCTGGTTCTTTTCCTCTTTTTTAAACCCGAAGCCCACATGCATGGTTCCCTTCTATGATATCACTTGAACACGTCAACTCTAGGTCCCGAAGCCGTTGAAGGTGTGGTGTCGATGAAGCGCATACCCAAACTGACATTCCCCATTAAAGCCAGGCCCAAGTTACATATGTATGGAAAAATATACACACATACATATATACATGCACCTGCTCGTGCACATGCAAATGCACATGCGCATACATACACACGTACCTACATACATACCTACATACATACATAAGTACATACATACATGCCTACCTACATACGTACATACCTACATACATACCTACAGACAGACAGACAGACAGACCGACATAAGTGTATATTTATATACATACGTATACACATACATGCCCAAGTGGTCCAAGCCTTGCCAGAACGCTCTGCACCAGGCCATTCTGATGCGCTTCGCTGCAGCATGGGACGAGCGATATGCAGCCCAAGCCCCTCGAAGATCCTGATTTCTTCCAGTATAGAACCCCTATGTTCTGAATTC